GGAAGCTACTTCAAATGCCTGGCTGAGGTTATACTTAGGCAAAACATGTTATGAAGGATCACATTCAACATGGCAATTAATGAATAAATGATAACAAAGTCATACATGTGAAAGTTACCACCACAAGGACTGTGGACAAAGGAAATAAAAGACAGTACATCAAAGATGTCATAATTTTGCCTTCTTTGCCTTCCAGGTAAAAACAGAGTTATGAACACCAAGGCCTTATCTATTTAAAAAAAAACAAAAAAAAACCACTTTGCTCCCAGAGAATTTGTTTGTTGTGATTATTACCAGCACCTAAATAATTTATTAAAATTCGTCTCTGACAACTATTTTACATCGCTAGGCAGGTTTAAAGCTACCTTGCTTGGCCTAAGGAAATCAGCAATGAAAAATTAATGAAAGAAATCTGACACTCTCAGTGTTCTCTAAAAAGTAAGCTATGCTTAAGGGGGTTAAAAATGGGGGGAAATCAGCAGATCAAGAAACAAGGATCAGAAAACACCAAGAAACTCAGTATTTCAATACTAGGTCAATTATTATCACTGGATTGCCATATTATAGTATATTTACACAAATATTAAAGCTTAATACAAGCAGCAGGGTGAGACAGTAGAAATATTTAATAATGTATTATTTGGCACAAACTTGCATGATTACTGTTTATCACCATGAATATTCTGATTTAACATATCCTCGAAAAAACTTGTTATTACTCAGTAAAGAATAATTCAAGAACACTAAGACTGTTCAAATTATTACAATTATGACAGGAAAAATCTCATTTTCATATTCTTGTTGAGCCATTCAACTCTGCTACACAGTATTGCCCTTACTGAATTGCTACAGTACACAACAAATATGCTATTTACATTAAGTAAACCAAAATTTAATGTACATTATGCTTGAAATTTGGGGGGAGGGGTACATATGATGAAATTTGAACTATTTCAAAATAAACCCTCTGTTTTAAAGTCTGAAGGGAATAAAAATTTAGATTCTTCACTCAACAAATGAACTTTCATTAAAGTAACAGAAACTTTGCAAAGCACCTGTTATATGACAAATATTATTTTAGACATTAACAACTTGTCAACGTTCTTGATAAAAATGTGATGTTACTATAATTTTTGGGAGAGATAAGGGATACCATATAGAGAAGATAAAAGTTTACTTCCCTACTGTTGACTTAATAGCTGGCAGAATATCAGTACCCACAGGATTGTGAAGCCTACAGATCTCTTAAGACAGTATACACCTGTAGAACAATTAATTATCACATTGTCAGCTTAATGGCTCTTTACAATTTGTATACAACTGTCACTTCAGCCCCTCCTATCAACAGCCATCTAAGCAAGGTATATTAATAAGAAACTGTGGGCAAGCCTTGTATAAAAAGATAAGCATATTCTAGGATTGTTAAATATATTAAAGGATGACATTTAATAAAGTAATTAAATCCTTTACTTACTCTTCCATGTTGGTTAGAACACTCCACACAGCTGACTTGGATGTTTCCATGCTTAGCACCAGGTATGATCTGCACACATTCAAAGTCACTTGCCAAAATAACAATATCACAGCCTGATCCATATGCCTAAAAAGAAAAGTTTTACAATATATCAGATATGTAACTTTTGAATTATGAAAATTTATCTTAGATTGTATTGCCATTGTAATGTGTATATTAACACATTTTACAGAAATAGTTAATGTAAGGATATTAAGAATACCAATTTCCAAATAAGAACATTAAAACTCACATAAATAATGGGATGACAACACCCCATGCATTATCATTCAAAAGCTGCTACTAACAGGAAAAGGGTTCTTTCAGTTCTTAAACACTATGGACTCTGTTCTGCAGGTCATAAATCACATTGCTTAGAGTTTCTCTCCAAAGCTCATCTCAGTAAACTCCTAAGAGTAAAACCTCCATCTCAAAGTAATAAGGCACTGAAGTCTGCAATTGTGTTCCCAGGGTTCAAACCAGGCTTGAGAAACATCACGATAGAAATCAGATGCATTTTCCAACACAATTCCACATGGCTTAAAGAGCTATTTAAATAGACATGAATCCCTGAGACAGAATTACATGCACTAAGGCAAGGACTAAACTTAAAACTCAAGTGCTCAAGTGAACCCATGAGGCAGCGTGCCCTCAGCCTTGAGGGAGTGAGGAAACCAACCCAAAATGGTTTCACAAAAAAGGTTAAATCAAATTTTAAAAAAACTGATTTATATAAATATTGGCAAATATTACTATACAGTCTGAAAAATAAAATATAACACAAAATTATGTTCCCGGAAAATTCTCTTGTTCAATGTAACTATAATGTGCAAAACCACATATTTCTTCCTATTGCCACACTTCTTGGTATATGCCATTCCTGTTTTGCAACCTTGTGAATTTTATGACGATATAAGGGGCAAAAGGTGGAGACACTTTTATGCTTCCAAATTCACCTGATCATTAAATATTTCAAGTACCTTAACAATCTAATTCTCAAATGAAAAAGCCCCACTAAAAGCAACATAAATATAAAATTTATGAGGTAGTTTTTTTCTCACTATTTCTACACCTTTAAGCAATATGGTCATGTCCTACAAAATATAGCCTATAGCCAGGGCTGACATGTCGGGACATCGAAGTCAGTGACCTATGTCCTGAGGCGGTCCCCGTATGGCTGCTAATGAAAAGAGGGAAATAAAGATAAACACTAGATAGGAAGACAAACACTACTTCTACAGGTTACTAAAACTTCCAATGTTGCCAAAATCCTGCTATAACTATTATAAACCATTTCCACTCATATATTTACAAATATCAGAAAGTTCACCAAAAGAAAAACAAAGAATGTTAAGCAAAGGAAGTATGGGGGAAAAAATCACTCACAGGAGGAAACAACCA